TTTTATACAATAGAATTGACCTCATAAAGAAATTTTATTAAATTCAGGAAGTAGAATGAATTGCAATACTAATATAACTCTTTGAATATCTTCATGATGAAATTTGACTGTAATTACATGAACAAATGTTCAGTTGATTAAAAAATCTTTCGTTATCAATTGAATATTCTCGCAGATGTTAAAATATTTATTTGGTCAACGTTCATCTTATTTAAATGTTGAAACAATAAATAAAGTTCAATCTTTATGTCGTTCAATTGAAAATCAAATTGATGAAAATAAACTTCATGAAGAATTTCTTGAATTATTTCATCGTCTATTAAATTCTCCTAAAGAAAAATCACCGCGAACTATTCTTCAAGAACAATTTCATTTTTCTCTAAATAAAGGTTTATCTCAAACACATTCCCAAGGTATTTTTCTTGATTATGGTCGAATAAAAACTGCTGGACAATTAGTTGCGATTTATCCTGGAACAATTTATCATCGTCATTTTGATCCACTTCTTTTAGCATCAATACGAAACGCGTTTTTACTTGCACGAAAAGATAATTTAATAATTGATGGACGTGATCAAGGTTTATCTCGTTCAATCTATCGTTCATGTCATGCTCGATATCCTATATATGATATAACATGGCTTTCAAAAGATATCTATCAACACAAAAATCCATTAACACTTGGACATTATATAAATCATTTTCCAGCAGATGGTTTACCAAATGTAACTTATTATGAATTTGATTTTAATTTCAATGAAAATCAACAAGATCTATATCGTTTTGTACCAAATGTTCGTTATGCAGATTTAGATAATGAAAAAGGAATGCCATCAGCAGTTTTGATTTCTCTAAGACCAATTGAACAAGGTGAAGAACTTTTTTCATGTTATTATAATGTTATTCAACAAGAGAAACAATCTTAAATAAAAAAAAGAAATTCTGTTTCCATTTTTATAGATATATAAAACTATGGAGTATTTCAAGATGATGACTATACAAATTTAATTCAAAACAAGAAACAATGTAAGTGATTGATAGCGATGAAATTTTCATGAAAAGATTGAGATTTGGTATTATGACAAATAAGTTTCTGATTTTGTTTTTTCTTCTGAAAAACAGGATATTAAAAACAATTGAGAAATGATGAACAAGTAGTATCATTTTGACTATAATAAAAATATGAAAGATGAGAAAAAGAAAGATAACAAATAATAGATTTTTCTTATCTAATGAATATAAGAAGAATATAAAAATGTGTCAAATATTAATGACATTGAAATTTTTGTAAGAAAGATGCGACTATTTTTATGTTTTATCTATTTTGGTAAATTTTTTTATAAATCAATTCTATGAATTTTATAAAATATTATCTTTTAGTCTTTATTAATATTGTTTATGTTTATACTCAAATATTATATGAATGTAATTTTGATGATGGAAATATATTACACCATTGTTTTACAATGTCAATATCAGTTGTTTCTAGTGTTGGAAAAGCAGATTTATTACCACCAGATGCACCATTATCGGATGTAACATCAAGTTGTATGTGATATAATCGAAATTAAATTATTGTATATATATAATTATTTTATTTAGTGAAACCAAACGACAAGGGAGAAGTATGTCAATTACCTTATCAAGTAAAAGATTATGATTGGGATATGTATTTTTGTCATGATGATCATTGTCCAACAGCTAGTAATCCGAATAGTTGGTGTAATATTGGTTAGTATAATACGAAATAAATTTTATTTGATATTCAAAATCTATTTTTATAGGTAGATTTGGTCACGTACAATTATTCGATACTGCCGAACATGTTTTTCCGTTAAGTACTCCAACTGGTGGTATTAATGGCACAGATGAACAATGTCTTATCTTTTATTATTATATGTCAATGATAGGTACAAAGAATATTACAATATTTAAACAAGAAAAACATACTCATGAAGAAATCATTGATTCTATTACAAGTAGTCCATTCAATGGATGGATTCGATATAATGTATCTTTCATTAGTCGAACATCTGATTACGAAGTACGATATATTGCTTATAGAATGTATCATCTTTATAATTATTTGAACAATTTTTTCTAGATATTTTTTGTTGTACAGAAAATGTCAACCTCGGGAGCACCACATATTGGATTTGATGAGATTTCAATTCGTCAAGGCAGTTGTGGTAACAAGATAATAATAAGAATTTATTTAAAAAAAGTATTTTTATATAGATGATCAAATAGAAACTACCATACAATCAATAATTACTAGCTCTGTAAGATATATTAATAAATATTTAGATTTTAAATAATTTATCTTTTCGTAGGAAATGACAACACAAGATGAAATAACATCAAAACAAACTGGAGATTCAACAACAGGAATAACGACAACCATTCTTTCTTCAACATCTATCACTCCAATTGATACATCTAGTTCGACTACTAGTTCCAAAGAAGAGATTCATACAAGTACAAGAGTTGAAAATATCATTATCTCATCATACGCTCAAATTCTTCCATATGAAACTCATCATATTATTATTTTATCTATCATAATTCCTCTTGTATGGATTGTATTCATTGTTGTTGTTATATGTATTAAACGATCAAATCATATTCGTAATGAGAGATCTAATTCGAATCGAAATATTCGATTATCAAATCAAATCGAACTTCATGATGTTTCACCTGCTTAATCTATAACTCTACTTTATTATTCAAATTATAATATCCATTTCTTGTAAACAAATAAGATATTTAATAAAAAATATATTTTAGAATATAATTATATATAAAATTTTCACAAACTACATGAATTTTACAATAATCCAAAGAGTTAATAAACTTAAAATCATCCTAAAAATATTTCATTTATATAATAGAAATAGTATTAATATTAAATTTACCTGTGTATAATATTTCGGTCTATAAAATTCAAAGAGAAAATTAATAATATTAATTAATTATTACTTAGTTCGAAATTACCTGATGCTGAACATAACTTATTATCTATCAATCGAAATAATTGAATACGATTGTTTTTAAAGTCACTAACAAGAAGATTGCCATTATTATCAAATGTTAAATCAGTTGGTACATTCAATTCATCTGGACCAACACCTTGTCCTATAATAAATTATTTTAAAATTTATTCTATATAACTACAATCTATCGTATGTATTTTACATACCACCAATTCCAGCAATGACATCACCATGAATTGCATTTGGTAACCAACGCTTTATCTGATTATTATATGTATCAGCAATATAGATAACATTTGTTGTTTCATCAACAAATACACCAATTGGATTACGTAAAGAAGCAGAATCATTACCAGCAATACCAGCACTTGATCCAGCGACAGTCATACCTTGTACAGCATCTTTTGACCATCTTTGAATACGTGAATTTCCAGTATCTGCTATATAAATATCGTCACCCGTTTTAGTGACATAGATGCCTTGTGGAGTACTAAGAAGATTAGGATCTTTACCATCATGATCTGTTACACCGGCTCTTATTGTTGTTTCATTAGTATATGGTGACCATTTAAGTATTTGTTCTCTGGTTGTATCACAGATGTAAACATTTTTATCTTTATCAAGTGCTATACCAACACATTTCTGACATTCATTACCTATTTGTAAACCTTTCGATGCTCTACTTATCCATTTTTCAACACGATTTTGAGCGGAAAGTGTTACATAAATTGTTGGTTGATCATTATCATTATCAACATAAATATGTCGAGGAAAAAATAAATGTGTCACTACAGTAACAGCATTTCCAGATGATTCATTAAGTAATATCATTTGAATTCGTGCATTTTTATAATCAGCAATATACAATGAATTTGTTGGTTCATAAAAAGATATACCTACTGGTTCATTTAATTCTTTCGAAGAATTACCAGCTATACCTGTTCCTAATAGAGTAATTCCTTCCCTATCCCATTTTGCACAAGGACTTATTTGAATACATCCAATTTGTACAAAGTTATATAAAAGCATGGAAATAAAAAAGATCTTCATTGTTCGAAATATCTTATCTTTGTTTTTGTCAAAGAAAGAAAGTTTATAAATTTGCAAAATATAAAAGATAAGCTGAAAACATTGGTTGATGATTGAGATAACAAATGTTAATATTCATTTTAATCAATTATTTGTTTTCGAAAAAGTCCATGTTATCGTTGGATATTATTCTTTAAATTTATTCGATCTTATTGAATAATGAACTATGTTGATTTATTTTTATATTGGAATCATTCATATATCTCTCGTTTAATGACAAAGAAAAATAAATATTATACAATATAAAACAATATTGTGAAATTACAAACTTGAATATAAAGAACAGACAAATATACATCTTGACTCATTTAATATGATTGACAACAATGATGCCGCAGCTAGTTATGTTGACATTAATCGTCGATTATGGAATGACAAGGTTGATTATCATGTTACATCACCTATGTACAATGTTGCTGCTTTTGTTTCAGGTGCTGATTCATTAAATAAAATTGAAAATGATTTATTAGAAGATGTAAAAGGTAAACGTATTCTTCATTTACAATGTCATTTTGGACTTGATTCTCTTTCACTTGCACGACGTGGTGCAAAATATGTAACAGGTGTTGATTTATCTAATCAAGCTATTGATAAAGCCCGAGAACTTGCTCAAATTACTAATCTTAAAGAATCAACAAGATTTAT